ACTAAAATAAAATAGTGCTTTGCAATTAAGTAGTGCTAAGGGTTAGCCAGTATAATTTTGGCAGACTGAAACCCTCATGGTTTCGGTATGTATTGATAAATTTTCAATTTTCTGCCAATTTAGTAACATACATATTACACATGTCATAGTATTTTTTTAAATTGTCAAAACATAAAGGTATTGATGCTACTTGACCCCAGAGTTCCGTGTTTATCATTTACGAAAACACTTCGTAAAAAACGCAGAATAACAGGCAAAAGAAAACTTCGATAAAAAATATTTTAATAAATTGTGCTGGACAAATAACTATTCCATTCATTAAATATAATCCGCAGCTTCTTCCTAAAAACCCCAAATCTAAAATCTTGAAATTAATAATCATCAAAACCAATAATATGTCCTCACGGTCTCAAACATGATCTACTAAACGCGTTGAGTAGATCATGTAGAGTAGATTTCTAGGCGTTGAGTAGATTTTTTAAGTTGCAAAGTAAGATAGAAAAGTAAGATTGCAAGAAACTTGAGAAAGAATAATAAAATATTGCAATATTTGGTATTATTTAATACATAAAGACAAGAAAGTGTTCAAGTTACTTGATTCAAGCTGAAGTATTTTCAACACCTTGGAACGACTATTCCTACATGGGAACTTCAAATCAGACGTGATTTTGGAAACATTTCCCAGACGGATTACAATTTTAACGATACATTACAATTACATTACGATTCCTGGAAATACAAATTGCACCTTATGCAAAATTGATGCGGATCAAAATGAACGCACCCAAAAATTCACTATTGAACTCTTGAATGATGGATACCGGCTATTTGCAAGAATTTGAACATGAATCAGGAAAATTAGAGCGGCTAATCTAAGTATATATATTACGAAATCAGGAACCTGTTTTTCGATGTTTTTTTTAGAAAAGTATGTCCCCACGGTCAAAATCATCTTCCGCGGCCACTGGTCACATAGACACTCCGCCTGGTAATAACTTAGCTACCGGGTCTCTTAGAGTGTAGGAGAAACTGCAAAATTATGTACCAATGTGCACATTAAATAATTTCACAGAAAATATATTTGGACAAATCTGCCCGTGCGAGGTCAAAGTGTCACCTCTGTCCTCAGACCTTCTTGGCCAGACGTGCACTGCAAAACCACGTCCGAGTTGTGCATGAAAACCAGAGGAATTATCCATGCACATTTTGTGACAAGAGATTCTCCATCTCATCGCATTTGAAGAGTCACGTGGAGGCGAAACATGCCACGAATAAAGAAGTGAAAACCCATTCCTGCGACAAATGCGAGTACAAGACACACTCGAAACTAAACTTGGTCAAGCACAACTTTCGCCACAATTCAGCGAGGCATGGATGCTACTTCTGTGATAAAAAATTTTTCGTTTTCCCCGAATTGACAAGACATTTTCGAATTCAAACTTTAGAAAAGTAATAATACCTAAATGTACGTGAGTAATGAGCGCGTCAATAATTTGCGAAATTGTATTTGTAACAAATTTGCGACACTTATCAAAATTTATTTTTTTACAAAAGTAGCGTCATTTTAATTACAAACTTATGTCGTAAGTGGACACAATTGGTTAGTTGATTATTATTTCCTGCATTTATCAATAATTAAATAATAATCATGTATTCTGCAGTCCGTATTTGTAAATAAAATAATTTTAAATACATTTTAAAATTTGGTCCAGTAACATACATAGTAAAATTTGCCGGACAAGGAAAATCACATTTTTTAAATGCATTATATGTAAAGCAAAATGTTACGAACGAAATGTAACAATGTGGGGTGAAACAGATTAACCCTCAAAGACCACGCCATGATCTCGAGGGGGGTGGTCTGATGGGCTCAAAAAGTTGCTAGGATCCCACACTGGGGTCACAATTCTGCAAACCGATCTAGATTATGTATACATGTACATGCTTATAGTAAATAACATTTTCACCTCGTGCTTGTGTAACGAATATGGTTGAATTGTAATGGGAAGGGAGGATGATGTGAAATTGATATGTTCCCTCTTATATGTACTTATGACCCTATTCGCGACCTAATTCTAACTTCCTGGGGGGAAGTTATCCCGACTTTTCGGTGAAGAGCAGTTAAATGATAACGGCAACACAAAGGGGGGTTCTCTTAAATAACTAATATTTATTTAAAGCTGGAATATGAATCATTTTACACGCTATAAAAATATCTAAAGAAGAACCCTAAAATAAAGATGTTGCTCATAAGGAGGTATTAGACTGAATGTCTTTCCAAAAAGAGGAAAAGAAGGAGGAAAAAAAAGCTGAGACGAGAGCAAGGTTGCCTCGTTCTTCCCGAGTGGGAGAAAGATCTTCCGGCTATTGCCAGATGGCAGAAGGGATAGATTTCTCCCCGGGTGGGTCGGATTGAGACCCGTATCACTGGTGTGATCAGCACCAGTGGTACGGGTTACACTTGAATCATTCTGCGTGTTACACTCCTACATATGTATGAAAAAGGTTCAAAACTAAGGGTATAATTTATGTTTGCACTCATGGTGAAGGGTTATTTTTAACCAGGAATTTGTCAAATTTCCATTCCTTGCTATGGTTGAAAAATGCAACCATTTCCTCACCAACATTAATTTGACATGTTGACTTACTCCTAAACAACATCGGCATAAGTAACGATTTAGCAATCCAACACAACACGTGGTAAGAAAAGATATTTATGTAGCATGGATAACTAAACGGTATAAAGTCTATTTTTGTTAAAATAAATATCATTCTCGTTGAAAACGTGGTCGAATCCTTTAAACATGTCTAAATTGTTGTTGTAAAATTGGTGACATATTGAACTTATCTAACAATGCGATGGTGTTAAGTGTAACCCTCCGATTTGATTGAAATTTCGAAATTATGTGATCCATGTCAATATAACCATAGCTTCTTCTGGCAGTTTGTGCGATGGTCAGAATTTGTCAAAATATTTGAGGGCAAAGTTGAAAAATGTACAATTTTTAGCACGGGAAGAGAATGGAAGTTGAGCTTGCTTCCTTCGCCTGGTAAAAATCACCCGTTTTTCAACTTTGACCTCAAATATTTTGGCAAATTCTGACCATCGCACAAACTGCCAGTTTGAAACTGCCAGAAGAAACTATGGTAATATTGACATGGATCACATAATTTCGAAATTTCAAATCGGAGGGTTACACTTAACACCATCGCATTCTAAGTCAATTTTTTCTTTTAGATGAAAAATTAAATTTCTTTCAAAAAATAAATTTTACGGGAACACGTCCTCAACAAATATCGAATCCACATGGATCTGCAGCCAGGAAAGAAATGGGACTCTTCAAAGTGCTCAAAATCGTTTAAAACTGGTAACGGCTTGACTCAACACATCCTTACGCACGGTCCGGATGCCAACGTCAAATGCGAAGTGAGGGTGTACATAAATTTCATTAATTTTACAGTCTACATTCCTTTACTTCGTGTGTAGATTTGCGGCACAATTTCCAAAAACAGACACGCCTTAGCCTCCCACACGTGGTACGTTCACAGCAACCGGAACCGACCATGTTGTCCCACTTGTAATCGGGTGTTTCCCAGTTCGACCAAGTTACGTCTCCATATTGACACCGTCCACAGCACGAAGGAACGACCCCGTTTCCCATGCACGTTTCCCGGCTGTGAGAAAACCTACCTCGACAAGAATCACATTGCGAAACACGTGCATAAAGAACACGCCAAAAATCCGGTCAGATTTCAGTGCACACTTTGCGGAAAAGAATTCAAAACCAGGGCTAATCTTAAGCAACACATTTCCACCCACACGACAATTGTGCCACTTGTGGGAGGAGTTTCGCCCACAGAGGGACCATGAAATGTCACGAGGTAAGCACGTTATAGTAAGAACTAAGTCATACATATATTAACACCATGTTGATTATGTAATTGTACAGATGACACATTTAGAAAAATCATCCCGGGACATGTTAAAGTGTGACGTCTGCCCTCAGACCTTCTTGAGTAGGGCTAATCTACAACGCCACATCCAGGTTGTCCATCAAAATCGGAGGAATTATCCGTGCTCATTTTGTAACTTGAGGTCCTCCAGCTCATCACATTTGAAGAGTCACGTGGAGGCGAAGCACGTGACGAATAAAGAACCGATCCATTCTTGCGACAAATGCGAGTATAAGAGTTACTCGAAAGTCAATTTGGCCATTCATAAAAGGCGTCACAGTGCAGCGAGGCATGGATGCTACTTCTGTGGGAAAAAATTCATCGTTTTCCAACAATTGGTGCTACATTTTAGAATTCATACTTTAGAATCGTTGAAGAACTTGTGTGTCTAATGGGAAGTTCAATAATTTGTGAGACTTTTATAAATTTGCGTGATTACCTGTGAGCATCTACCAGATTATTAACAATGCTATGGAACCAAACTGTGAAGTAATGTTGAACTAAATACCTGAAAATTGCATCTGAAATCGGAAAAAGGTGAGATCCATGAGGTTTTCTTATTTAAATGCAATTCAATTTTTTTCTTATTTAAATGCTTATCGAGAAATGAGCATGCACGTACTTATGCGAGTCCACCAGATTTTTTGCAGTGTAAATGTATAATCTCACTAAATATGGATATGTAAATAGTGTAATAAAACTTCTCCGTCCAGCTTCGTCGAGCCCGACCAAGAATATATATGTTCTTTGAGCTTGTTGAACTTCACCATCCTGCATGCATTCTTTTAACACAAGTCTGGCATATTTTACACCGAATCCTTGCATTATTTAGTATCAAATTTTCCCATGGACTATTTAAATTTGAAAAATGTAAATTCGAGCGGATTACTTTAAATGAGTATCATCAGATGGACAGACATTACATCACTGCTATGTAAATCCTGGATACGGCTACAAACTAAATGTGACCTTGCTTATTCATTCCTTCATCTGCTCGCACATCTGGAATGAACATTTGGTTAATTATTTAATTCATGCTTACTTTTACATATCTGTCTCAACTCACAAGCTCAATACTCCTTTCCATCATTAATTTCCCTATTTTCGAGAGAAATTTGCGAATAAAATGCAGACAAAAGTAGCCGTTGTTACAGGAGCTAATAAGGGTATATCTTCAATTAAGGAATTCATTACGTTCATTTCGTAAGCAAATAAAAACAAGGTTGGCAATTTTACAAAAAAATGGCTTGCAACTTCATTTGCCAACTTCAAGTCCAGTACATACATATTTAATTTGCAATTCTTTTTTCGAAATTAAGTTACAATGCGAACATGCGAACTCGTAATGAATATCCCCAATATAATGTGCAAAATTTTAATCTGTCACAAAAAAAAATTGTTACCGTGTCCTTCGGTATCTTCCAATTCGCAGGAATTGGATTCGGAATTGTGCGAGGTCTCTGCAAAAAATTCGATGGCGACGTTTATCTCACTTCTCGAGATGAAGGGAGAGGTCGAGAGGCTGTCAAAATGCTGGAAATTGTAACACAAAATTACCGCTGAAAATTTAAATTTGACACAATTCCATTTCCAATTTTGTTATAAATTAGGAAGGATTGTCCCCCAAGTTTCATCCCCTCGACGTCACCTGTCCCCAAAGCAGGGCCACATTCATCTCCTTCCTTCAAGCGACGTACGGCGGCGTGGACGTCGTCGTCAACAATGCGGGAATCATAATGAAAAATTGCTGTTCGGACCATGCCCCCGAGGCGGATTCGTGCACTTATGAGGAGGCCGTGGTCACGTGTCGAACCAACTTTTTCGGCACGATGGACTTCACGAATGAAATTACCCCTCTGCTAAGACGGAACGCCAGAGTGGTCAACATTTCGAGTTCTTGTGGTAATAAAAAATTAGGGCTTCTTCTACATCATAAGTTTAATAATAAAAAAAACAGTAGGAGAAATGGGAGAAATATGTAAATGCTCATTTAGAGCGGAAATACATATCAAGAGTTGTGGGGGCATGTTATAAAATAAATTTACAAATCTTATATCCCTCCAATGTTAATTAATCCTTCCCTCACCTATCCCACAATGTCAGGTATAACCAGTATTTAAAAAGCGTGGCAAACTTTAAAGGGTCGTTCATTAAGCATGTGATCCATTATTCATGGCATTTTTACCACTACCCCCTGGTGAATAGGCACCATGTTATAATATCAGTAACATTGGAGGGATAGCAGGCCTTGACCCCTACCCCCTAAAATCGGTCACGTGCTTTCTGTACAGTCCCTTACGAAAAACGGCAGAAGTATTTATCTGATATGAAATCACTCCAAGTGATTTTTTCCTATTTGTTCTATAAGTAACCCTGTGACACATATGTATGTACATCTCTTGTAATTTAAGAAAGTAAAAAATCTCAAATTGCAGGATTTCTAAAGAAAATAAATGGACAAGCTCCTCATTCCTTGGAACTGCAGAAACGGTTCGCAGATCCCAACCTAACCGAAGCCGAGCTGTGTGATCTGGTCAATAATTTCATCGAGTAAGTAAATAAACCGTTACAATGAGGTCAAAATGTAGGTCACCTTTGAATTCTTCATTGAAAAATAGTAAAAAATGATGTGTTACATGTCAAAACTGACACGTGACACTTTTTCGTCACTTTTCGTCACTGTGACGACATCATCGTCACAGGTGACGTCCAATCGCAAAATGACATGAATTTTCGAATTTGTCATTGAAAAATGAAAAATAGTTAAAAATGATGTGTCACATGTCGAAACTGACACGTGACACTTTTTCGTCACTTTTCGTCACTGTGACGACGTCATCGTCACAGGTGACGATGTCACAGTGTCCATCTTCGAACTCGTCCTGTCCCTTGACGTTAGGAGTTCACGTTCAAAATTTTAAGTCTATGTCTTTTAGTTCAAAAGTTATCGGAGCTACGGACAGACGGACATAACGATCTTATAAAGGGCTTTCACCCCTTAATAATTCAGCATTTTGCAATAATAATGCTTTCATAAATAAACCGTCGCAAACGCGCATACGGAAGTAGCTTCAGACTACTTCACTCCAAGCACTCCCACGACATCGCGGGAACACTTGATTTTACTGTATTTCATCTATACATTCAATTTTTTCAAAAATCTCATTTTGCCCCGACCACACCCCCTAGTGACGAGGGGGTGTGGCACAACTCGGGAGCACTTTATTCTACTGTATTTCACCTATGCATTCAATTTTTTCAAAAATCTCATTTTGCCCCGACCACACCCCCTGGGGCCCGGGGGGTGTGGCACAACGGGGGAACTCAAAATTTCACTCCATTTCATCCATAGATTCAATTGCACTAAAAATCTCATTTTGCCCCGACCACACCCCCTGGCGACCGGGGGTGTGGTCCGGTTGCACCCAAAAGTTGATAGGATCCTCCCCCTGGGGTATTATGTATGATGGCGAAAACCGATTTCGATTATCTTTATCCGTTCTCCCGTTATCCTGCTGACAGACAGACGGACAGACAGACAGACAGACAGACAGACAGACAGACAGACAGACAAAGTCTTCACATAAAGTAGCTGAAGCTACTTAATAATAACTCGACGCTTAATTCCATCCCGATTTTTCACAAAATGATAATTCCGACATTGCTATCGTCCAGTTGTGAACAAATAAATTGTCATTCCTAGTCCTTAGTACCGTTCGCAGAAAAACACACACGGTTCGGTATGTACAAGTTCGCAATTAATTTAGGCTGGCAAATTATGTATGTAATTTTCCATCTTTAATTATGGTATATATTTCGCAATTTTTTTGTAAAATTATGGTACGGTAATGAATAGTCTCAGGGATTCAGAACGTGAAAAATATGTGACTTCAGTGCATGAATTTGATGTAATTTTGCAAATTTTTGCATGACCTTCGAAAAAATGTATCTATACATTTTTTCGAAGGTCATGCAAAAATGTATCTATACATTTTGTGCAAATTTTCCGACTAATTTTTAACAATTAATTCTTATGTACATACTGCATGACTCATGCAGCATGAGAGGCAAAAATCTTAAGTAGTTAAGTATTCTTAAGTATGTGTGTTTATTTGGCAGTATGTACATACACGTGTGTAATTTGATGTATGTATGTACATGCAGATCAACAAAGACCAACACGCATTACGCCAACGGATGGTCGCACAGTGCTTATGACGTGACCAAAGTGGCGATCACGTCCTTGACCAGAATCCACCAGAAGAAATTCGACACCGAGAGACCAGACGACGACATCCTGGTAAATGCTGTCCATCCCGGATACGTCGATACCGACATGACAAAACACCGGGGACGATTGACCATTGACGAAGGTGCCGATGCCGCCGTTTGGTTGGCCGTGTTGCCCCCAGGGGATCCCTCCTCTCCGAGAGGGGGTTACATGTGGTACGACAGGACCATCGTCGACTGGGTCAATGGTCCGACCCCGTCGACAATTTAGGCGAAAAAATGCGAAAAATTCGCGTGGTTATGCACTTTTCAAATAAAACCAATGTCAAATTTTAATCGGAAAAAAGTAATAAATATGTGACTCTGTTGAAAAAGAATTAAAAAAAAATATTAATTAAATCTTTAGTATTAATTAAGATAGATATATACAAAGATATCGTGTTTTTTCGCCTTCCTACGATATTCGAGCGTTATGGCTTAAAATTTGCGCGCAATATCGAGTAGACCAATAATCCTAAATTATATTAGGGGCGCGCTTAGCCAATTTTAAAGATAAACGCCAAAATGTGCGAATTTTTTAAAAATTACGATGAATAACGTGTAGGTCATGCAAGTACGTGATTCACTTAAGCCCTTAGAAGTTTGTTTCAATTCGTCCCAGCCTCTTACATTACAACCATGAAAATCATCAAGCATGGGTATTGGTTGGGATTTCGCACTTAAATAAACATAACCTTTGTCACACCCGTAGTTGTTAAAATTATATATCGAGCCATGCCATTGTATCCACGTACCTAATTAATTAGAGAAAAGCGAATCCGTTCGGGGTGCATCTTGATGAATGTGGATGTCCCCTCGTAGATATTTACCTCTACACTCCACTGAATTATTAAACATTTGGCGGACCTTTAATCTTACTAAAGTATTCCATAGACTTAACTGGTGAACATGAAATAAACGAGATAAACAAATAGGTATGTTAATACAAATGTCAATGATAAAAAGTATATTTCAATATGTCAAACATGCGACCATCATTTACGCATAGTCTTCTTAACATTCAACGATTGACGTGTTTTCACAGGGAAATCAGAAATTGGATTTTGAAATAGAATGCATGAATTCTGTGGACATAGTTTGTCTACAATATAAGCACTAGCTTTCGGAATGCTTATCAAGTCATTAGGTCTTCACAAATTTGATTAGTTAAAGAAAGAAAGTGTGAGGAATAAATCCGTATGGAAGAAAGAGGATAGGGGGACTTACTTGCCTTCATCCCTCAATCCTTGAATTAACTGAAAGTAAAAATGATCTCGCTGAAAGATATTTTTAGACTGATGGTGATTTTTATTAAACAACTTGGTTTTAAGGTTTTGACAGTACATAGGAGACATTCATACATATGTAATAATATGTGGTCAGAAGTGACCATACAAACTACGCAGAGTTATGCTCAAACGAAGTGTCCCTTCTAATGAGGCATAAAAACAAAAGGACCCTTTTAATCCCTTGTCCTGGGAAAAAGGTTGGAAAATGCTCAGCCCTCATAAAAGTCGACAAACTTAAAAATTGATAAATATGGAAAACTTTGTTAACATGCATATTTTAACATTAACCACTTCGCCCCTATAACGACTATGTGGCGTATTTGATCTTTACACCGGATACGACTATGTGGCGTAAGTTCCCTTGGCTCCGGAATACGACGATGTGTCGTATTGACCCTTGACAACGGGTACGACTATGTGGCGTATTTTCCGTTCACGCCGGCATACGACTATGTGTCGTATCCAGAAAAAAATTAGGTCATTGCTCTTCCAAGTATAGCAAAGAAATAGTTTTGAGTCAACAACACGCCCTTTGGGCGGAAAGATGAATTGCCTCTTCGCAATCAATGTTATAAAGGGAGGTGAAAACAATTTATAGCCAAGTGGCTATTTCTAGCCAACACGCCCAGTTTTGAAAACTGCTGTTGGATGGAATTTTTGTTACCAATTTCAACAGCGCTTTCAGACAAAATTAGAGAAATTGTTTCTCTCGGATTTAGAACGGGCGTTTTTGGCGGGAAAATTAAACCTTAGATGAATTGCATGAAATTAATATTATAGGCTACAAATAATATTGCCACTACGACAAAATTCGTCAAAATTAATTATTACATATCTGGAGCTGGTGAAATCTCTTTGGGCGGGAAAATTAAGAGATTGCCTGGAATTAATAGCAATTAATTTTCCTTAGAATTGAGTTATATACACCAAATGCGCTAAAGTCGATTTTGAACAGTTGATGCTATAATTATAGCCTGTATATTGTATGTCAAGAATTGAAAGCAATATTTGCGAAGTTAAATTTTCCCGCCCAAATCTACTTCTGGGGCGCTTGAGGCGCGATAATCGATTTTTGCGAATTTATGTACTATTATGCAAGTGTTACTCCATGTCTGTCTAACTATCCATGGGATTACAATCATTTTCAAAATGCGGCGGGTTGGCTATTTTCGGCTATAAATATTAGTGGTTCACAAAAACGCAAAGATGCAAATTACGGCTCAATATCCGTGCCAAAATGGTTATTCGCATCAACTTTCATAAAAAAGTGTCCAGAATAATTCAGGTGGGAACACCATTTTTTAATTGATCTCCCAGTAATTAACGTCATGCAGTTGGTGAAAATTGCGGGGTCAAGGGAAGTAAAAATTCGTGGTTGCTAGGGGTGAAAGGTATGAAAATATGCGTCTCTCAGGGGTGAAGTGGTTAATCCTTGAATCCTTGAGTCCTCAACAATCTCTCATTCGCAATATTATTAAGCTCTGTGTTTTATAGAGCGCTTTGGATATCAGGAATGCACAAAAACGCTCTAATTTTTTACACAGACCAAACTTTCTTGCCCAATTTCCAAATCAAAAATTGTCTATGTTTACCATGATATCAAATATATTTATATTTTATCAGGGAGCCTAAATAAGTATCCGTGAAGCTTTGGTAAGGATTTCTGGATTAATTTACAAATTAATAGATTATCTGTAATCTTGTTATCTGTATAATTATACAGCATTACAACATAAACTCTAAGTTATTATTTTTTAAATTTCTATCACATCCGGTGACTCCCCCCATCATAGCACGACTATAATTACTTAAGTATTATATATGTAGATAACCCAGACGTGTATATTTTTCAATACTCTGAAACAGCGGGGCACCAAGAGCTCCACAAGTTGAGGTCATGTTATTTTGCATGTCCCACTCGTTCATGTTTATAGACACGACAATTAAATTATTCAACTCTAAGAAACAATTCATACACAAACATTTTTAAGTTCTTTCTATCTAGACTTTATATCCACTGGCGTTAACTACATAACTGCACGAAATCATTTGTAGAACAAATATCACACACGCAACCAACGCCTATCATTGTCGCAAATATTCGGCATTGCCGATATCCATGTTAACTACGAAGACTGGTTCATATATGGAAGTTGAAGTTTCTTGGTGAAGATTTGATAAATGCTCATTGCCAAACAGCGACATAAGTACACAATAAAACCGTTGGGTATCCTCGCCGCCAGTTTTCACAGAGGGTGACGCTGTTCTGAGAACACATATATCATCAATCGCCAAAACTTGATTGCCATAATGGGACTATCACAGTCCCATTATGGCCATTAAGGCCATTGTTTCCGTCTTATCATTTTTGATATCACCATGTTGCCAGCTCGCCCTAGCGTTAACAAACTTTAACCACAATCCGAAATGCTTACTAATGACAACGTTAGCACGTGAAGTCCAAGTATCAAACTCGAACACCACTGATCTACAATATCAATACGACATCCACTTATCGTTCGCTCATCAGAACGGACTAGTCGTGAAACACTTAGATTACAAGGATTCTAAAACTCGACCCGTTTGGAAGATATGTTGCATTGAAATCGTCATTTTTTATGATGGTGGGAGTATTGGCTGGTTCTATGATGACGACACCATTTGGGGTCATGGAAGTAATACCGTAGTATACATGGCATTCTCGTCACATAGCTTAAAGTTCTGGAAAACACATCATTACCAGAATTTCTTGCATTTCTCAGGCCCAATCTTTTTAGTAATAGTTGATTCTGAACAAAACATTAATTGGGGCAAGGTACTCTACCCCGCAAGTAATTATGGTCAAGAAAAGTGGAAATCCTTTAAGGATAGTACCGGGCAACTGCCCGACAAGTTTCCGACGGGCGATTCTTTGATGAAATCTAGGCGATTACTTGACTACAACCAACAAATGTTTAGATTGCCTGTGTACTCGGGTTGGTTGAAAAGGTTGACAACAGTTGATTGTGAAAATCATCGCTACTTTTTATCTATCGGAAGCCTTTGTTCTGTACCATATGGACCGATTCAAGTATTAATGAAGAGTCTAAATTTTACGTTTTCCTTAGTCGGGTAAAAATTTTTTATTCTTTAAACTAAATACCTATATTACATTTCCGCTTTCATACATGCTTATGTGTAAATGTATCATGAATGTGTCATGTTAATATTTTAGTAATCAGACCAACCAACGTTCAGAATATTGGATTCAAGTGGAGGAAGTGAAATTTAAACCAGGACAGAAATTTTACCACGAAACAAATATGGATTTTTATATTGTCTATTGTCAGAAAAAGCCGATCCTATTGTCATTAAAGATTTCAAAGTTTTTTACCATTATGGATCCGTGGACTTGGATGGCGTGCATTGTACTCTCGCTGTTTTTGGGGCTTGCAAAACTAGGCGGATTTTCAGATATAGCTGTAACGGTCCTTCGGGTGCCTGTACTGGGTAGCGGGTAAGATTCACAAATGCGACAACTGCCAATCGCAATCACATGTTAAGGCACAACCTTCTAAATTGTTGATTTCAACCTAGCATTAATTATCAAATGTTTCTTTCTGAATAAATCCATAACTGTAATTCCATTACACTAGGAGGACCATCACATCTTTTGGGCTGCTCTGCATTGTGGTAATGGTTGCTATTAGCTCGTCTTATGACGCCATTATTACAACAGATATAACAAGGCCTCCTGAGAAATATGTGGTTACGAATATTCGTGAATTTTTCGCCGAATTCGGTTTCAAATTGTACTCATTCAAAGACAGAAATTGGACACTATGCCGGCTATCGATTTTAATGAATATTTCAGATTTTGAAAATTGCAACGTTTATATTTGGAGCGGAGGTATGCTAACCATATTTTATCGTTCGTTTCGTTTCAATCTGGACTTCTAAGTATGCTTTTTTTAGAACTCCCTGAGAAAGTGTACAACCATCGTCATCCTCATTCTGATAAGGTTATATTGGCGGACCAGGTCGGTTTTCTAACAAATAATTTTGGCGTGCAAAAAACATTTGTTCTAAAGACAAAATACTTTAAAGTTACTTGTAATGCGGTCAAAGAAATATTTTATCGTGGCACCCTAGCTTGGCGGTTTAGTTATTTTGGATCCGAAGGATTATACCATAATTTACAGTGGATAGGTTCCGGTGGAATTTTTCGGTTGTATACAGGGCTTTGGAAATTTCTTAGCGAATATGGCGTTCGACATCACCCTGCTGAAATACCTAAGAGTAATTTGGGGTTGGAAAATCTTTTAGTTGGCTTTCAACTATACCTGATTTTTGATGGCCTCGCAGTTCTCAGTTTTTTTTCAAGAAATCGCTTTCCACAAGCTTCTACTTTACCCTAGGGTAAATTTTACCCTGCTAAAATTGAGATTTCAGTTATATCAAGCGGGTGCTCGGATATGTTCTGTATTGGTTAAACCGAAAAATATGTATCAAGTGGTCTCTACCAAGTTAAAAAAAATGATGTGCTGGGTCAATTTTATTTTCCGTGCTTACTTATTTAAGTTGCTACATTGAGTTTAAATTAGTCAAATACCACATAACAGAAAATGCTAAGATTCTTTGATTTCTGAGACGAATGCAAATTAAGGGATTATGTACCCCGATGATGAGCCTGTAACCTATAGCTGTTAATCAATTTATCTCATTATTTTCATTTAGCCACGCTATATAACCTACACACTAAAGTTACGCACTGTTAGAAATCAATAAATAACTTTTGTATTTCTATGAATGAAAGCGTCCGTGACTTTGAGTCTTAATGAGCGCTTGTGTTTCGCCCTTCAATATCATTACTAAAAATGACCTCATTGTTTTTACTTATCAGGATAAATTTATAAAAAATACATTTCATTTAATTAGTATTAAATTACCATGCGTATGTACATATTTGGAACAAATATGTATGCATGATAAACGCGGCCTGGTTGACAGTGACGCATATCGTACCCTGACTAAATCTCCACGTTCGCCTCACTTAAGACGAGCCACACCACTTGACTGATTCAGCGCGAATTCCTCCCATTCGTTTATATAATCCAATCCACAAAAACCCGGGGTTGTGAACTCTACAGTCAGTCCAAGAAATATGTGTAGCAAACCCCACGCAAGCTAAATAAAGTTGGATATAGCTTTGGTGCGCATTATCAAATCAAAATGAAATTTTGTACGCATTTGACAAGTATAATGTAGTACTCCGTGAGGATACTCTTTTATTGATTTAAATTAGGTCAAAAGAGTTTTCAAATAATTTGTTGGAAAACTTGCAAAATTACTGTTCTATTGTTTGGATCTTTTACTTCCCGCCTGCAATGCTTGCAGTCACGTGATGGTCGTGCAGACAGATCATTATATAGCATCCACTTTTTACAAGTACCAAGAATTTACACACTAAAATTCATGATAATAAGATATACGAAAATAATTTTGGAATCATTTTAAGACCCATAAATTTTCGGATGAAAACACAACATGTCATGTCTGCACGACCACGTGACTGCAAGCATTGCAGGCGGGAAATAAAAGATCCAAACAATAGAACAGTAACCCAGAAAAGGTATTGGAACCCTTTAAATTAAAAAATTGTACAGTAAATAAACTTTATAATTTTGTTTCGAAAAACTGTTTCAACTAATATGTAGTACCTCCCCTCGATGCAATTTCAGCATAAATGAGGAGGGAGCGGGTCTAGAGAATCACAAATTTTTTGTTACGTAATTTATGGTCGACCGCATGAAACTAATCGCTGTCGCTGTCATCGTTGCCGTCGCTGCCGTAATAATCCCACCTTTTGTCCTTGAACATCTTAAACTTGTGCCTCGACATATTATTCGTCGCCATGAAAGCGAGTAACCTTTCCACCGTTGCTGTCTTCAACTGTAAACAAAGAAATGACAATCTCATCTCAACGCTCTTAAAAATAACGTGGCCCTATTGAAAAGTAGATGCACTCAGAATTCTATATTAAATAAACTATACTAAATCCAGAGTAACGTTCACTTTATAAAGAATAAAGTGTATTCCAGATTTGGTCTAGTTTACTTAATAGAAAAATCAGAGTGCATTTTCATTTCAAAAGGCAACATTACCCTTAGGAGTGAACAATTAAGTGTAAATAATTAGCTTTAAGTTATGAATTAATTGAATCTACATATGTACATAACTCACATAAAGATTTGAAATTGTGACCCTTTCTAATCCAGCCATCGGTTCTCGCAATTTCTTAAACAGATCCATTTCATCCTCTGTCAAATCACTTGTCGTATTTATCCCCCTGCCCCCCATAAGCTGGAAGGTTTTAACCCCTGAAATTTAAGCAATTTAATTAATTACTTCATTAATTGTTACCATCTAGGTATGAACTTTTATCGACCGGTATACATAATTTTATGATCTCCTTACTCTTAAGCAATTCCTCCGCATCGAATAGAATTTTGAAAAAATCCGTAACAATTCCCGTTACCAAGCTGGCACCCCCAAATTTAAATGTTTCAACCCACCCCAAGCCCCACACGCTTTTAGAACCACGTCCAACTTCATCTCGTTTTCGCCCCCGTGAAAACCCGTCTCGTTATCCGTATCCACCTTTAAACTTTCCAAGTTCGGAAAAACCTTCGCCAATCCCTCCAAAAGTGTGGGGTCATCCACCTCCAAAAGCACGAGGTTCTTTACTCTTCGAAATATTTTATTCGCGTTGCAAATATTCTGCAACTCGTCCTGCATACGACTCGACTTTCTGTTTGTTTTCCCGATAAAAATCGCTTCCAGTTCGGGCATAATTTCGAGAATGTCTTTTACCGGTAAAATATCGAGCATTTCATCTCGAAATGTTCGTAGTTTCGGCATTTTTCCGAGAAGTTGGAATCCAATGGGGTTGTCCATTTCGAAATCGAGGTACTCAAAAAAAATACAGACGGAAACTTAGCTCAACCAGGGTTTCCCTTACTTGATTCAGCATTCTACCAAGTTCCGAAAATGTGGCGGGTGTTAGACTGATGTCATCCGGAGTGATGCCATCTATCACGACTTCAAGGGTGTCAATGCACTTTGAATTTGCAAAATCTGGATGGAATCCCCACGGAAGCGTGAGATCCTTTAAGTTTGGGGCGGCGTTGACGACCAGTTGAGCAAGACAGGGAAGCAGTGGGATCACAAGTTTTGAATTTAGCGCGAACAAGGTCAAACCTGTGCAAGAAAAATATTTATTCATTCAAAATTCATTCAAGTTTAAAAGTGAAAAAAATAGTTGTTCATTATGAATTTATTCGAAATTCGAAAATAAATAATATTCACATATTCATTCATTATTCATTCTTTTCATCTCAAATTTAGCTTATTAATTAGTTTGATTTCTCAAAATCCCCAGTATATTCAGCATACAGTGAAAAGTGAGTAATGAATAAAACTACTTCTTCCTAATGAAGACTTCATTACAAATATTCACGAATATGAAATACATAAGGATTTAATTCATATGCATGCTTTCAATACTTTTGAAAAAATTATTCGTTCATACTTCATGAATGTATGAAATTTGAATGAATAATTTATTCATGCTCTATTAAACAAATGCATGTGAACAGGTATAAAGATGGTCAAACCAGGTTTTTCCACGAGTTGCTGGACCTCGGCAGCAATTACGTTCTGATTCGTTGCCGTCTTAAATTTGCACGTGATCCGAAGTTCTTTTAAATTGGGGCAGAAATTTTGCAAAACTTGATGCACTGATTTCAAACCGTTTTCTTGATCTATAGAAATTTCCAAAATTTGCACCACCTCGTTAAATCTGTCACACGCATACATTAATTTGGACGCGAATGGGTACAGCGACGCGGCAGAATGGAGACACGTGGCGCTAATCCGTTTCGCGATTCGCGCATCTATTGTGAAACTCGTGTCGAAAAATGGCACGGCGTCGGTGTCTTGTTCGGTAACCCAGTGATAGTGGTTCAATCGTAACCCGATTTTAGGAATTGGGAGCGAGAGGATGATTTCATTCCAAAATTGACACACGAGTCGGCAAGATCGCAAAGGGGCGCGGTGCTGCTTGAATATTTCTGCTAAATCTGGAAATTTTGGGATAAAAATGTTAAGATTCAGAAAATTAAAGATTTTTTTTAGTAATTATGAAATTATTTTGAGCTTACAATTGGATTATTCATGGCGATCTGTTGCACATTTCTGCTCATGGTAGGAGATTCCATTCCATGAAGTTGTTCTATTCATAATTTCATATAATTTTAGAAAACTGTGTTAAAAATTATTACCGGGCAGGAGTAACAATTCTACCCACATGGTGACATTATGTGCCAGTTAAATATGTAGTAATGCTATGGTTGTGAAAAATTTGCATACCACTCAGCAACAAACTACTACCATTCCGGTAGGAAATTATTACCAAATTAATGAAGATGATGGTGAGTAAATGTGACTCAATATACCGTATTTTTGACAGTGTACTTGTAGATATTTGCAATTTGTGCAATGGCAATAATGCAAATAAATATGTACATACTTACCTTACAAAACTCTTCAGACAGAATATTTAGGTTTTGTGTGTTTGGTATGCAGTTATTATTTTTCTATGATTTAAATTAAATAACTTAAGAAGAAGCGTGTGAAATATTTATTTACTTTTTTTACTGGCCAGATGCTGCGTCAGCTTCGTGGTATCCATGGTAACAGTGTGATTGATGCATATTTTTTTGTTAGAAATGGTTATTTACTTGTAAATACATACATATGTGCAGTTACTCGCTAAAATTGTCAGCGCATAAAAATTCAGAATGCAGCAGTGGTGAAAATTTTGTACAGATACAAGTTTACGATTTATAAACTTTGGTATTCATAATTTGCTTGAATATTGAATACAAAATGTTGGTCATGCGAAAAACTTGCTTGCCATGTCCTAATCGAATGCTTCCCAGTAGGCAATTCGAGGGTCGAAATCGCAGCGATACCAGCGAATTTAGGGCGACTTCGCTGCAGAGAAAAGTCGCTTCGACTTCGACGCCGACTCCACGTAGAATTCTGTACGACTTCGTAGCGAAAGATGCAACACCGAAATACATACGAAATTTCGCTACGAAGTCGTAGAAGTAAACTCGTTGCTCCTTCGAGTAGAGAATAAGCTCGTCGAATTCGTAGCGAATTCTCAGAGAATTCCGAGCAAAAATCGAACCAAGTATTTCAGCTGCGACTTCTGAGCGAATTCGCACCGACTTCTCTCCGCCTCCTGCCACAGCATAATTATATGTGGTAGTCTGGTTTCAACCTTCATTATGAGCACACGTGATCATCGCCCTGAGCATCTGCTGAGTAAAAGATCTCAACGACGAATAATTTCTAACAAAATTAATAATTTCTTTAAAAGCCTGCAAACTGGAAGTGAAGAAATTAATAATCCATGTAACGTGCAAGTACATATTAATTCAGAATTAGGACAAGATAGTGAAGTGACGAGTGATTTGGAATTATTGGGCGCCGGTTCACCGAATCAGTCCATTCAAATTTTTGAAAACGTCAGCTCTCCAGATAACAATTTAAGTGACTTTACACCCTGCATTCCAATCGAGGACAAAAATTATTTATTAGAAATCAGGAAGTGGGTTGTAAGTAATAACATTACTAGAAACGCTACTTCGGAATTATTAGAAATTTTAAAATCTCATGAGTGTTTTAAAAATTTTCCTAAGGATGCAAGGACATTGCTAGAGACACCCAAAGTTACAAATACTATTCCTGTGGGGAAAGGTGAATTTTCATATTTCGGTGTAAGTGCAGGATTAATTAAATTTTTGGATTGCAATCCTCTCGTAGCTGAAGTTAATTTGCAAATTAATATAGACGGAATTCCATTATTTAAAAGTTGTAGTAAGCAATTTTGGCCAATATTAGTATCACCCTTTAATACAAATTACGTTTTTGCTGCTGCCATTTTTTGTGGTGACGAAAAACCATCCAATTTAGAAGAATATCTTCATGATTTTATACTTGAACTTAACCAACTATGTGTAGAAGGTTTAAATCACAACGGGAAGAAATACAAGATCAAAATCAAGAATTTTGTTTGTGATGCACCTGCCCGTTCTTTTGTGACTGCAATTAAAAATCACACGGGGTATTATGGGTGTGGCAAATGTGAGACTAAGGGAAGTTACATAAATCATCGCGTAGTGTTTACCAAAACAAATGTAGTTCTGAGAACAAATGAATCTTTTCGCCAACAATCCCAAAGCCGTCATCATCATGCACCTTCACCTTTACTTGAACTGCCTATTGACATGGTCAATGATTTCGTTTTTGAGTACATGCATCTTGTATGCTTAGGCGTCACTAAAAAATTATTAAAATTGTGGACAGACGGCCCAAGGGCACCATACAGGTTACGACATGCAGAAACTGAACAAATCTCGAGCAGATTGGAAAGTATTAAATTAACAAAGGAGTTTGCTCGTAAGCCAAGAACATTGAAGGAACGCGATAGGTATAAAGCGTCGGAATTGAGAACGTTTCTTCTGTACACAGGCCCTGTAGTTTTGAGGGACATTTTACCAGCAAAATTCTACCACAATTTTCTAGTATTGTCTGTAGCAATTAGAATTCTTTTAAAACCACACCAAACAGAATCAAATATTGATTATGCTGGCAACCTCTTGACCTTTTTTGTGGAAAACTTTAAGGAGCTGTACGGACGAGAAAACGTGTCTTACAATGTCCACGGATTAATTCATTTGGCGGCAGATGTCAAACATCACGGATCATTAGATGAATTTAGCGCTTTTCGTTTTGAGAATTACCTGGGGAAAATTAAAAGATTAATTAAAAGTGCAAAATTTCCTCTCCAACAAATTCATAGGAGGCTGACTGAACAAAGTTGTACCCTCGAGCTCTTTGATAATTCAAAAAACATTACTTCTAACACATCCCAACAGTCGAAAGAAATTACATTTAAAAATACCAAAATTTCTGTAAAGTTCCCAAATAATATTGTACTTCTTAAAAGTGAACAAATCTTACTTATTAGCAAAATTGTGACTGAAGTGGATAAAGTTTTTCTCGCCGGAAATATCGTTTCCGCTCCAAAAAATTATTTTCAATATCCTTGCGACTCTAAATACGTTTTAGTTTTCAGAGTGAACTTAAAGAAGGTTGACACTACCGAACTTTTAATCCCTATGTCCGAGGTGTCTCATAAATGTGTTTGTGTTCCCCTCAGTAAAAGTGAGAAATTTGTGCTGTTCCCACTAATTCATTCGGAGGACTGAAAATGGATCAATCAAATTCAACCCATGCCATTGTCCACTTCCCATCTGACAACACAGTAGAAATTGTTCCAATAAATTGGATTAACGACCAGGCAACGCATTGCCAATTTCCACCATCAGGAGAGAAAGGGGTTAAGAAAATAAAAAAGAAAGGCGGTGTGCCATTACCCCATTGGGCCACATATGAAATCACGATACTAAAATACTTTGGTAAGTGGGCCGAAAATGCATCTTTCTTAATTTATATTAGTCGAATTCTCATAATTATATCATTTATAAACATTAAATACGTTTCAGCATCCTACAATGCAGCTGCTGAACAACTTCCAAAGGCAATAACCGGCAACAAGTTAAGCGATTCTGAAATACAGACCGGAACTAGAAGTAAAATGTCGTCGACTACCTTTTCTTCAACCCTACCCGTACCCCCACAAGTAACGACTCATCGTACTGAAATAGTTTCTTCTTTGGAATCAGGAAATGAAAATGGGGAGACGACTTTCGTTCTTCCACCTGAATTTGGTGGCAGCTTAATATTGGTATCGCCAGAGGGACAGGAATACGCACAAAACATCGCAAACACAGAGACAAATAATTCCAATTCGCCTAATTTCATCAATAATGGTATTATTTAATATTGCACATTTTGTATGTTTGTGGCTGCTATACGTTATTCAATTATTGTTATGTTTACATAATATTTTAGAAATCATGAAGGAAATTTTGGTACAAGTTCATCAAATAAAAGTAACTCAAAATGAGCACGGACGAAGGCTGACTAATATCCAGAATTTGTTGAGCAACCGAGACCGCAACCCCCCAGTGAATCCATCATATTCTTTTCCAAGGCAATTTTTCCCCCTAAAAAGTAAGGAAAGCTTGAAAGCTTTGGAGGAAATCTTGAAGGATCCTGCTCCCAAGATAGCATTGGTAATACTCAACCATCTTTTTTTCATTATTACGTCTCCAAAAATTAAAAATATTTAATGTTTTTGCATTACTTGTAGAAAAAATACTTTCTGAATGTGGAGGAAACACTTTGGAAGATTGCTTGGAGCTTATGGCAAAATATTTGTGTTCGGATGAAATGCTATCACAACATAGTTATCATGGACGCAGTGGGAAGACTCCATTTTTAAATCAATATCCCGAACTCAATCAGGTTGTATTTGGTAAGTTCCATTTTAGAACTATGGAATTGTGCACGAGATAAGAAAATATAATTTTGCGATGGTGAATTTTCAGAAGGCCTTTCACAAAATGATAACGCCGTTCCAGTTACCAGGAAGTCTGTCGATGAAGCCTTCCAGAAAATTTTGAAGCGGGGAGCTGATCGATTCGGAAAGAAAGTGTAAGTGGTGAACGAGTTTTATTTAGCAGAAGTGTGATTTACTAACTCCATTATTCTTTTATAGGAAACCTCCCTCCAAGCCGACATCGAACCCCGGAAATATTTCAATCGTTGGGACAGAAGAAACTCAATAAAAATAACAATTATATCTTTCTGATATTTATATTTGTTAATTTGCAATAAATCAAGTTTTCGTATAATTATAATGTGCAACGACAATTATATATTGAGGTAGCATCGAATTCACCTCGAATTCATAACGAAACTCCATCTCGAATTCGCTACGAAGTAGCGAGAAGTCGTTGCGAAATTCGCTGAGAATTCGCTGCTCCTTCCCAAAGAGTCGGCGGTCATGTAGCTGTTGTTTCGACTTCGATTCGATAGAGAGTCGCAACGAGTCGTTGTTCAAGTTTCGCTGCGAAGTCGCACAGAATCGCTGTATTTTTGCCTACTGGGTTATCTTAATGTATATTGAATGCAATCACATTTGCATAAATACATACATGCTGTAAGCAAAATGGTATTGAATCATTACTGAAAGGAGTTCGTACGTATCTGCATTCACCTGCACTTTAATACCGTGTAGTAAAGGGGAATTCGGTTACCGATTGTTGTCGAAATAAGAACTCAACACTTAGAAGCAAACTATTACTAATCCGGTAGAAAGTTATTAACAGTCAATACCAGCACGGTACATATGCATATGTGACTTCATCACATTTTCAACAGTGTACATAAATACATCTCTTAATAGTAGGTGCTTGAAGTTTGTGAAACACTCAATACTTGCATTTAATTAATTATTCAAGAGTAGAAAAAAATATTTATGCAACGTTTATTTGCGTCATGTACCGAGTAGAGTTTCATAAAAATCCTACTCGCAAATCACATCCCAAATTAGACCCGAGTTTCCGCTTAATCATCATCTTCATCAAGTTAGAATAAAACATTACACTCTTAGAAATCTTGTAAAGTAGCATAATAGCTATTGATTTCTCGGTATTATGCTACCACTTGAGATTAAAATTATACCGGTCCATAAAATTTTACTACCGATACGGCAAAGCTTCTCTTTCGGGTTATCACTACACGGTATTATTTACCAATGCCATACTCTGTTAGAGGCATACATATAAATACCGCTTGGTAATATTTCAATGCTGGATTTCTAAGAGTGTACCTGAGAAATGAGTCTTTTAGGAATTATCCCAATCTGGCTTTGTCTCACCTTGTCTTTGCTGCTCACAAGAAGAAAATTCTAACTCGTACCATTCACACAATAAAATATAGCAGATAAGAACAATTGCCACGGCACCCGAATTATCAAAATGACCCCCGAAACTTGCTGCTGTGGGTGCTGCACTGTGGCCAAGGGAACCCTGATCATTGGAATTTGTAACGTTGTCCGTACTTATTTATTACCACGCGTCCATTAATAACTATTGTTCAAATAAAAAAATGTGACTCTAGAAATTATGAAAGGTTACCTGGCGGGATTAATTATCCCTCACAAAAATTTATTTCGGTACTATAATTAAAAGTTGCTCAGATACTCAGTTCTTAAAATTAAAATAGGTGCCAGGTAACCTTGTAGAAAAATTTGGCTCAGCCATGGCCACACTTTTTCTTATATGACCAATAATTAAATATTAACTATTTGTACTCTAAAAAAATTACAGATTGGAGGAATTTTCGTCGTTATCGGCTCTGTAGTTCCAGTTGCTTTAAGGATTTACATATCCCTGTGCCAACCTGACCTAACAAATTATCCATATGGTCTGAGAGGTTCGGTTTAATTAACCCAATTCTTAATTAACCAACATAAAAATTAAGTATACTTGGTAAAATTTATGTTACATAATAAACCGTAGTAACGTTAGAAGTAGCTCACCCTGTAATACATAATTACCTTGCACCTTTGGACCTTTGATGCAAAATTATAGTATGTAGTTCAACAAAATAGATCAATAATTTGTATGCAATTATGCATCAATGGTGCAGAAAAACGAGGAAGACGGCGAAGTATTTTGCACCACTGTTGGAGATTAATCGCAAGGGACTGTAAGAATTTGTGTCAAAATTATATACTCCCTTCTCCCGGCTATTCTGTACCATTGGTGCGTTTTGCATCAATTAACCCAATTGTTTCCCATCATTTTGTGTTACCGATTGTCAGATACCAACGGTGCTATTAATTTATTAAAAAATGGACCTGGTCCATTCTAGTTAGCATCAATTGATGCTCACCCAATTGTTTCGCATCAGCTTGGATAGCCAACTGTTCAATACGAACGGTGCAACCTATTCCAAAATTGTAGTGCTTTCCTGATCCATTTGTACAATTAATTCGCACAAATTGCGCCACGGATTGTTCGATACCAATCGTGCGTCTACTTCATTCTATAATGGTCAAGGGGATTATTAATTAGCATCAATTGATGCAAAAAACTCGTGAACACACAGACAGACGGACGGACGGACGGACAAGAGGAATTCAATAGCTCCCGTGCTACGCATTGCATTATTGGTGCGTTTTGCGTCGCTGCCTCCAATTATTTCGCATCATTTTGTGTTCCCGATTGTTAGATATCAATGGTCCTATTAACTTGTTAAAAAATTTGATTCGGTTTGTTTAGTACTAATGGTGCGCCTAACGTATCCAATAATGGTCAAGGGGCTGTTTAATTAGCATCAATTGATGCAAAAAGGTCGTTAACAGACGGACGGACGGACGGACGGACAAGAGGAATTCAATAGCTCCTGTGCTACGCAGGGTGAGCTAATAATGGAGGTATTCATATTCCTTCATATCCTTACTATCGTCGTAAAATAGTTTACGAACATGAAACAAGGGGTCAAGTTCCGTAAAAGCCGCAACTTTAGTAATACGATTTTTTATGACAAAATCCCACGACGCTTACAAAATTTCGTAACCTTCGTAACTTATTTTACGATACGAACAATGCCAAGGATGCGAAGGAATAATGAATACCCTTATGGACCGTTAATAAATTGTGTAACGCGAGAGGGGGTGTCTAAGGTTCCAATAATATCGTGGCAACATATGTGCCACATGTTAAAGGAGGGAGGGGGAGGGGTCTAGAAAATCGGGATTTTTGCATTACATAATTAACGAACGGCCCCTCTTTATTTGCAGAATATAACACCGCCGACACTATCATAGTTTTGGCCCAATTGTTTTTCGCTTTGTTACATCTTATCGTTTCTTCGCTTATGGTACATGGCTGGCGCACAGTACGTTTTTAATGCATAATGACTGAGTTAATTAATCTTATCCAACCGTGTAAATTAATTATCGCTTTAATTTGTGTATTTAACAGCGTAATCACCGTTTAATTATGCCCTGGATCATCTGGAGTTATGTTGCCCTGGTTCTTCTATCTGCAAGAGTGATATTCCTCTTCTTGGACTTATTAGGTGATGGCTATCTTGCGGCTGGGATTTTTAGTCTGGCAATTTCACCGCTTTATTTCTTGCTTCAAGGATATTTTGTCTTTGTTGTGAAACGATTCGTGGATCAGTTGAAAATGAAAATTTCTTACTAATTCAGACGATTTGTTTCCTGTAAAAATTATATTAAAGGTTTAACGGTTTTAACAGGTGTCAGTACCCCTAGATAAGGGTACATCTTCCTCAGTATTATATATTAAGGAAAAGTTTACAAATTATTAAGAGGAATAGATAAATGAATACAGGGTGGTTTAAATAAAATGGCTCGCTACAATAGAAAATTTGAGCCTGTTTCAAAAATTGAACACAATTTTTGCTCAGAATTAGATACTTCCATGAAATTATACAAATTCATTTTTAAAAAAACCTTTATGCAATTGCCAAAAAATTATCGTTTTTAAAATTTTTGAAAACTCAGAAATAGCATAAAAATATCAAATTTTAAAAATTTCTCCCCATTTGAAGGTCACGATTTTTGCAAAGTTTACCCCAAAGTTTTTTTTTCTTCGTAAATTATTTTACGCTGCGTAGGAACAATGAATATTATGTAAATATTATTTAATTTAGTATGTAAATATGAGGGTGGAAAGATTTTCCGCCGATACTGTACATATGTACCAACTGTAGCACTTAAAAACGGAAATATACCACAAACTAAATAGATTTCATTACGCAAATTTTAATTAATTATGCAGGCACTTGACCCCATGTCTTATTTGGTAAAACCATGTAAGAGAAATGTCGTAAATTTGACACCTATGCAACAATTATGCTCTAAAGACATTGGTCTCAGAATTAATTCTGTTCGGTAAATATTTACATGCATTTTTGACTTATTTACCCTTGGCGACAAAACGTCTCTTTAAGCATTACCCAAAAATACAGCACTATAAATAGTATAGACCTGCACTATCTTCATAGCCAAACGCCAAAATGTATTTAACTGTACTTTCATGGGCCCGAAGAGCCCTTCAAAAGGATAAATCAATAAATCCTATCTTATCTTATAGACCTGCAAGGATGACAATTTGTCACCAAATTATTTAAAGTGTACACAAAGTTTACATATGTACGTACTTTTACTTGGATTTTATTTGCGGAATTAAATTAAATTTTTGAAAGGTACTACTTAGGAGGGCATATTGTCGACTGGGCAGTCCCAGATTTGGATGCCCATTTAATATGTTGCAGTACTAAATAGGTAAGTGTACGAAAAGGGTACGAAGGTTTTGTCCATTTGCGCCCGCCACACCCACTCGAAGTCAAAGGCCCGAAAAAAACAAGAACAAATCCCTGTTATCACTTGTTGAAACCTTCGCAAAAAGTCCCATTTTACTCGGATTTAGAAATTCTTCCCATGATACAAGAATTAATGCATTAATTTGTAAATTATGCAGGAAAAAAAGCAAAAGAGTGGCTAATTACGTAATTACACTTATTCCATCGTCACCTTCACTACTAAATGTTGCGAAGGAATAAGTGTAATTATATAAGTAATTAGCTACTTTTCAACATTTTCCTTGCATGATTGAGGAATTAATGTAATAATTGGCAATTACATGCAGAACAGTTTGAGATTTCTACAAGTATAAATACGTATTTAATATCCTAGAGTGTAAAACATGTCAGAAAACGCTGGCAAAATTCGACCCCTGTGAAATAAATACATGCAATTTTATGTAGCTTTCAAATTAATTTGCCGAGTCAAATTAAATTTTATTTTAGAAACTAAAACACACACTCTTAATAAATGCGGTGTTAATCGTCATCTCGCGGTGTGAGTATGTATGGTGACAATGTTTATCACCGCATGGTGACAAATTGTCACTGGCTGATTCGTTAATTTTGGACGCTATTAGGTACTTAAGAAACATTATCATCGCGCGGTGAAGTACAATATACACACAGTTCGGTGCCGATTTTCACCGGGTTTTTAAGAGCGTACATATTTTGTAGCATTACATTTAGCTGAATATGTAGATATTTATCGACTCGAGACTTGGCTAATTATTTAGCAATTACATTTACAAAACTAAGTGGTGTGCATCAGGTTAAATTAATTTCCTTCGATTTTAATGACCTTGTACCCAAAAAACACTTAAAGGATATAAAGCGCAGAATAAATAAAGCCGGAAGAACATAAAACGTTTCAATCCTAAGTTTAATTTACACAAAACTCAAAAATTTCCAACTTTCTCCAATCATTGGTACAACTTGAATAACAACTAGACTAGTGAAGCTGTGAGAATAGAAGAATTTAATAAAAGCTTGACTAAGGATTTTCTCAAATCTAACGAAGCAATAGATTGCCCGTTTACAGTAGCGACGGAAACTCAAAACATCTACTACTGTTGGACAGGCTGTAATTTTCCATACCAAAATGTGTACAAGGTAAGTTAAAAATATAATATTACACTGTTCAAAAATTTAGTGCTTATTCATTCAAGTAACTCAGTTTACCCTCAAAACCCATGTAAAACCCTTGGTTTTAAGTAGCAAAACCCGTAGTTTTCCTAACACTGCTGTGGGACTCGTATTGAAGATTTAATACAATTTTGCTACTAGTGTAGCTGCTTTGTTATGAATTTACTGAGACAGCAGATAGTGTCAGAACTTAATCCTATCCCAGTTTGCCCCAAACCTCCGACTACCCCAAAAATCCAGGTGAAACCCCTGGGTATCGATTTTCAATAACAAAACCTGGCGTTTTCTTTACCCTGCTTAAGTATGTATAAACTATAATTTAATTTTAACTTAATTAAAAATTAGCGTGGACCCGATAACCTCTAAAACCTTCAACTCTCGGACATTAAACGTTATCAGGATTTCTATGAAAATACTCGCATCTATGGGAAGTATTCCATTTAAATGGAACCCTAACCGTGGATCTTTCTCGGTTTCGACAACGCCGATGGCGAAATTCTCATTTTTTGCATCAGTTTTACACACAGTTTGCCTACTCTTCTTTCTCTTTTGGCGATTGGTCCAACACTCGCAAAACCTTGAGTCATTTCAAACCCTTGTTTGGCTCTGGATTTCGATAATTTTCACAATTTGGGCTTTGATAACTTTGCACAATGTGTGGACAAAGAAGGAGGAAATTGTGGCAATATTTGATGGAATGAAACTCTTGACCCTGCAGCTGGAACGAGGTAAGGTTTTGTGTCCGTCGAGCTGTCTTGGCAGGCACAACTTGACATTGACTTCTCTTTTTAGTGGACAAACTCATAAAGTTAGAACTTCCTGGAAGATTACACGCTTAAAAATATTTAAATATTAAGAGTCTTTCAGATGACTTTTCTCAAGTCAACATTGTGCCTGAATTTGCATAGCAGTTACGCACTCTCAAATTTTTCAAAATATCCCGACGCAAAAATGAAGCCGCTATTAGGTAAATTCAGCCCGATCGATGCTCATTTCATAGCTGTTATTTGGATCGTGTGCACTTACGCAGCCGCCGTTGCTGTAATGTTTTTCGTTGTGCCGGGAAGACCACATTACTTTTATTCGCTCATTTCATCCACGACGTCAGACCGGATGGACGTTGGTTTCTTAATATTTTTCATGTTTGAAATATATGCAAAGACAGCGCAGGCATTTGTCGACGCATCAGTAATATTCTCCATCTTTCCGACCTTGCTTCCTGCCGCTTTCTGGATGAAATACTTTCGCAGGTTGGCTCAAACATACATACATATATGTATAAGTATGTAAAAATACTTAGAAATGATTTTGCTACACAAATATGTGTAATTGGGAGGCAAAATAATAATTCGAAAAATAAATTGGTAGTAAGCTATCTATTTAAAATTGTTTCACAAATGCATGTATGTAATTTGGTACGGAATATTCCGGAGAATGAACTGGTCGAAGGAGGACTAATGCCTCAATTTAGTTTTTCTCAGCCCATTCTCGCATACATACAGCTAACTTCAATCCTTTATTAATTTCAACGTACACATACATATGTACCTTTTTGCAGATTTGGTCGTACCACAATCCAGATTTCCGAGAAGATCTCACTGTTTCAAAAATTTCACGTACTAATCACCCACTACAACCACTCCTTCGTGGCACTACTCCCTCCAATGTTGTCTATCGTGAATCCTTCGACCGCTTGTGTCATTTGTTACTTTGCTGCCATCCGATTTCGGAGTTTTCTCCCTGTTTTCGAGCATCTCCCCTTTCCAATTATGGGAAACAATATGCTCGCCATCATTTTCGTGACGCTCCTTCCCCCCATTGCTGTTTCTGAAGCGTCGGATAAACTACATCGGCATATCGTCAATGAAGTCAATGTCAAGAGTGGAAAACTGGTGAGAAAGCGTTTAGCAGCCCTGCACGCTTTTGGGGTAAAGATCGGCCCCATTCGTGACTTGAGAAAAATTACAATTATTATGTGCTATGATTTAATAGCGAATTATATTGTTTCATTCCTAATAACATATCCTCAGGAGGAGGTTACCCGATAAGCTAATAGGTATGTGGACATTTGTTAAACGAAAACCCACGAAAGCAATAATATGTACCACAAAAGCCCGGGTAGCACACCCTGATTAGATGTTTATATACTGATTTCACTCCAATTGGATTTTCTTCATGATATTGATATGCACTTATCTAGTACACGCAAGATAGATGAATGTATAGACGTAATGTATGTACGTGTTTCACAAAGAGGAGTATTTAGTTTACGCTTTGAATTCTATAGTTCCTGGTACCAATTATCAACAAAGTTTGGTTTAGTAAGCCTCCCTGGTAATGTTTTATTATGCAAATATGTATGAATTTATAAGGGTAGAAATTAGTTAAGAAAAATAATTACTTCCAGGAATAAATACATTTTTCTACGAAATGTACAATGTTCATTTATTAGGGAAGTAAAAATCGGGTTTTCGAAAAATTGCTAAAAGCGATATAGCATATTTACAATGTATTTCTCATTGTTCGGAGTTTGCAAAATTCTAGTAAACCGCTTTTCGATTCTGTGCAAAACCGATTTGGACTCGAATTAAAAAATAATTCGTGGTAGTAACTAAAATTGGAACCAAAACTAAAAGTAAGTCTAGAGGTGTCTTGGTTATCGATAAATATCCGAGTAATCCGGTCATGGATCAGTCCGATGTTAAATTCGGATCGAATCAGTGTTATAGTACCTGTACTATAACCATGTCTGTATATATGGTTATTAAATGTTAAAAATTTGGGCTCAAGACCTAGCCACAAATATAGTATTTTCAGTAATCCGGATTTGGAATCCCTATAAATCATTAATATAAATTCGGAAATTATTTAGGAAGTCTACATTGCAAATAAGTACGTTCAGTTGAGTAATGGCTACGTACATGTGTACATAAATACGTGTGTTCGTGACGGA